GGAGTGGCTGCCAGGTGGGTTTAGGGATGACTCAGGATTGGGTTGGGATTTGGAGTTGGAGCTGAGATTGGCACCGCTCTGCCAAGAGGTTGGCGGGTGGAAAATTATGGGGAAAAGGGAGGAATGGTGTGAGAAACAACAGAATCAGGAAAATTTGGGATATCGGAGGTTTGGGGTTCGTCATGTCTAGGTTTTTAAAAAACCCCAAACTTTCCCTGTTCCAAATATGTTTGGGAATTTGGGATGTTAAACAGCAGGGAAGCTCCTGGTTTTATTTGGGAAAGGGGAATTTGGAGTCTGGTTTTATTTGGGAAAGGGAATTTGGAGCCTGGCTTTATTAGGGAAAGAGCATTTGGAGCCTGGTTTTATTTGGGAATGGGGAATTTTAAGATTGATTTATTTGGGAAAGGAAGGATTTGGATGTCGTATTAATTTGGGAAAGGGAGGATTTGGATGTTGGTTTTCTTTGGGAAAGGAAGGATTTGGATGTTGGTTTTATTTTGGAAAGGTGAATTTGGGGACCGGTTTTATTTGGAAAGAGGAATTTTGAGAGTGATTTTATTCAGGAAAGGAAGGATTTGGATGTTGGTTTTCTTTGGGAAAAGGGGGATTTGGAGCCTGGTTTTCTTTAGGAAAGGAAGGATTTGGAGGCTGGAGCTGCCCCTGGATCATTCTTCCCAAGCCTTGATCCAGCCTCAGGTTCACCAATCCTGAGTTTTCTCCAGGGAAATTTGGGATAAGCTGCCAACCACAAATAGTTTTATCCAAGAAATCCTGAAGTTTTCCAGGGAAAACTCCTGGAGGAGGCAAAGAGAGGGCGAGTGGTGCCGGTGGCATCAGATGGAGCAGCTGGGAATATTTTTCCTTGGATTTCCCATCCTGTTCCTGCTCCCTGAACAAGGAGCTGCCCTTCCCAATGCTCTCCTCCATTCCCAGGTTTATGAACAGGGAAAGGATGGGTGCAAATCCAGCTGTTGGAATGTGGTGGAATTCTCCATGGAATCTGAGATGGATTTTCCAATAATTATTTGTGGATGGACCCCTAAATGCTGGACAGGCAGGGAACAGAACCCAAAACTTGCCCCGAATCCAAAATCCCAGCTTGGAATTGATTTCACTTCCCTCCTTATTTTAGGGAGGAATTTTTTTTTTCTGCTGGCTCCGCCGTCTCCACCAGGTTTTTCCTTCCCTTTTCCACTGGGTAATATTGGATTAACCCACTTTCCCCGGAGCTGGATTTGCATAATCCCCCCTGCGAGCAGGGATGTGGGAGCGGCTGCTGCTCCGGAGCAAACGATGCTTGGAGAAACCTCCGAGGCAAAGGGAAGGGCAGAAATATCCCAGCTTGGATTTTCATCCCCACAAATCCCCCATTTCTTCCAGGGGTTTTTACCACTCCTTCCTTCTTGCTCCTTTCCCAGGAAGTTTCCCAGTTTTGGCAAGTTTTTGTGGAGCATCGCAGGATTTGCCCAATTCCTTCCTGATTTTAAGGGGTTTTCTCCCCGTTTTTCTCCCTGTCTTGCCTCACTCCCGGACTTTTGCAGCTTCCCAAAGCTCCAGTGGCAGCTCCAGGGTGTTGGAGGTGATGGATGGATCTGGGAGAGCTGGGGAGGAGCCTCTGGAGCTGTGGGTTCCGTTTATTCCGCCCGTAAATCACGGGAATGTGGCTCTGGAGCGCTGGATTGGGGTCACGCCCGGCTCCTCGTTCCCGTGATTTATTGGACAGGGAGCAGAGGGAGCTCCTGGAGTCTGAGGGATCCGAGCTGCTCCAGGGGCGGGAAGGGGCAGGGAAAAGGGGGAGAGAGGAGGAAAAGTCAATGGCAGCGCTTTGGTGGGGAGTGGAGTTGGGGATAACTCCTGAGATGGATCCCGTGGGATGGATCCATAACCACTGGGATGAATCCATAACCCCTGGGATAGATCCCTAACCCATATGGTTTGTCCATAACCCCTGGGATGGGTCCACAACCCCTGGGATGGATCCGTAATCCATGGGACAGATCCATAACCCTNTCCAATCTTTGCTCCAGCTTTGCCAGTTCCTCCCCGGCTCCCTTTAATCTCCGGCTGATCCGGGGGAAAGGCGGGAGCTGCGATCCCACCCGGGGGCTCCATGGAAAGCCGGAGCTCTTCCGCACGCACGGAGGCTCCATCCCCAATTCCTTGGGGCGGATCCTGCCGCGCTGCCAAGGATTTGCTCATCCCCCTCCTTCCCCGCCGCTTTCCCGTGCCTGTTGCTCATCCCGGCGTTCGGAAATGTCAAAAGCCGAGCGAGGGGAATCGGGGCAGCCGGAGAGACCTCGGCTGCCCTTCCTCCCTCCCTCCTCCTCCTCCTCCTCCTCCCGTTCCTGCCTTTTCCATCCGCACAGCCCCGAATCCAAGGGGCCCTCGTGCAGCCTTGGCAATCGCAGGGATTTAATCCCCGCTTTAGGAACAAAAATAAACCCTGGGCAGGCAGGGAGAGGCTGGAAAGGAGCCGGCCACAGGCGGACTGGGAATGTTGACCAGGGTTTGGGTGGCTCCCAGCTAGGAAAACCAGGATTCCGTGATGCAACACCAAAATTCCCTCATTCCAAGCATCATTTGGGGCTGAAAAGAGATTTAACCCTCAGCCCTACCCCCAAACAATCCCAAAAATCCACTTTTCCCCCTCGTATTTCTTTGTGCAGAGCTGTTCCTGCAGCCCCCAAAAGCAGCACAAAACGGGATTTTCCGGCTTTTTCCCGGTGTTCAATATTCCAGGCCACGCTGCCCTGCTGCCGCAGCCGGCACGTGTTCCCGGAGCGTGTTCTCCCGCAGGTCGTGCCTGGGATTTATGGCACAAACACCTCCAAGTTGTTTTACAAGGAATGCTGAGCCTCGGGATCACCGCCTGGGAGGCACAAAAAATCCCGGGAATTCACCTTCTGCCCTCCCAGGGCATCTTCCACAAAGGAATCTCTGATTTCCAGCCCCGTTTCCAAAACTGCTCCTGTTTCCTGGACTTTTGCTCGGCTTTTTTTCCACCTGGTGCGAGGAGAGATTTTAAAAAATGGAATTTGAGAGGGTGAGGGGTTTTTTGGGATTTGCCAGGCTGTCAATCCATCAATTCGCAACAGCTGCAGGAAAGGGAGGAAAATAAACCAGGAATGCAATTCCCGTCCCTGCTGCCCCCCCGGCTGCTCCCTGCTCCCAATTTCCCAACAAATTGAGGGGAAAGAGGGACAAAGGGAACGGATGGAGCTGTCCAGGCTCTGAATTTCCCTCTGGATCGAGGATGGATCTGGAATCTGGAAGTGAGAAGATGGGGAAGGATCTGGAAAACCCCTGGGTGGGGGTTGTACATCCTTGGGGGAAGCTGTTGGGGAATTTCCACTGGGAATAAGGAATTTGGGAAGTTTTGTGCAAGCACAGGGAGGGGAATAGGGAGAGATGATGGAGCCCAAGGGGAAGCCATAGGAAGGACGGGAATTTGCTGTGGGAATGGCAGCTGGGATTTTCCCAAATTCAGGAAGAATTTCCTTCAATTTTGGCTTTTTTGGAATCATTGGGGTGGCCCTGTGAGCGATCAGGGCTTTCCCCGGCATCCAACAGTGCCATTAACCCATAAAATCCCTGGAAACCACCAATTTCAAACTTCCCTGGAGCTCAGATCTCTTTCCCTGCTTTTTTCCCCCCATTTTTCCAGGATATCTGACCGTCAGCATCGAGCCCCTGCCCCCGGTGGTGGTGGGAGACGCCGTGACCCTGAAATGCAACTTCAAAACCGACGGGAAAATGCGGGAGATCGTCTGGTACCGGGTGAGCTCCGACGCCTCGGGAATGGGAATGCGGAGCCGGCCGGGAACAGAAGGTCAGGGCTGGATGAGGCAGGAAAAGCAGACGGAGCTCGGGCTGATGGGAATATCAATTCCAGGGAGGAGGAGGAGGAGGAGGAGGAGGAGGGAGGCAGCTGGGCTGGACGCGGGAAATGAGGCTGGGAGGGATGCAGGATGGATTTGGGAGCATCGGGATTTGGGATCATTGGGATTTGGAATCATCGGGGTTTGGGTTCATTGGGGTTTGGGTTCATCGGGATTTGGGATCATCAGGATTTGGGATCATTGGGGTTTGGGTTGATCGGGATTTGGGTTCATTGGGACTTGGAATCATCAGGATTCGAGTTCATCGGGATTTGGGATCATTGGGGTTTGGGTTCATCGCGATTTGGCTTCATTGGGATTTGGGATCATTGGGGTTTGGGTTCATTGGGATTTGGGATCATTTGGGTTTAGGTTCATCAGGATTTGGGATCATTTGGGTTTGGGTTCATCGGGATTTGGGATCATTGGGATTTGTGTTCATTGGGATTCGAGTTCATCAGGATTTGGGATCATTGGGGTTTGGGTTCATCGCGATTTGGCTTCATTGGGATTTGGGATCATTGGGGTTTAGGTTCATCGGGATTTGGGATCATTGGGGTTTAGGTTCATCGGGATTTGGATTCATTGGGACTTGGAATCATCGGGATTTGGGTTCATCGGGATTTGGGATCATTGGGGTTTGGGTTCATTGGGATTTGGGTTCATCGCGATTTGGCTTCATTGGGATTTGGGATCATTGGAGTTTAGGTTCATCAGGATTTGGGATCATTGGGATTTGGGTTCATTGGGATTTGGGTTCATCGGGATTTGGGTTGATCGGGATTTGGAATCATCGGGATTTGGGATCATTGGGGTTTAGGTTCATCAGGATTTGGGATCATTGGAGTTTAGGTTCATCGGAATTTGGGTTCATTGGGACTTGGAATCATCAGGATTTGGGTTCATCGGGATTTGGGTTGATCGGGATTTGGAATCATCGGGATTTGGGTTCATTGGGATTTGGGTTGATCGGGATTTGGAATCATCGAGATTTGGGATCATCCTTGGATTTGGGCTCCACATGGTGCCCCCATCCTTTTTTTCTTGGAGTGGCTGCCAGGTGGGTTTAGGGATGACTCAGGATTGGGTTGGGATTTGGAGTTGGAGCTGAGATTGGCACCGCTCTGCCAAGAGGTTGG